CAGAGGCAGGGGTGAGAGGGAGCCAATTCTGACAGTATTCCCGCGGCAAGGGAGCTAGGCAGGCTTAGTCATCATTGACTTAATGTTTCTCTTCTTCCTCCCACATCTACTTGTGTAACTGTCTTTTGGGGAGGGGTAAAGCCATATTAAGAAATACAACAGCACTCGGAAAAAGAGGAAGGAGAAGCAAGGAGAGGTTGGGAAGAGCTCTTGGGTGATGAGGCAGATGGAGTGGATATCCAGGCTCATTCCAGAGCTGGGTGGTCCCTCCAGCCTGAGGCGCTGGGAAAACAAGAAGGGATTAGGGAGGCCATCGGAGATAAAGTTGGCTCCAAGGGCAGCACTCACTTAGTACTATAAATACCAGCTTACTAATTAATCATCGCAAACGCTCTGCGGTCACCAGGAAACTCTTGATGGATTGACAAAGATGCACAGAGGTCATGATTTAGGGACAGCCCAAGTACTCATTTGGGGCAATTGGATGAGTGACGGTAGGGAATGGGGTCACGGCCTGGTTGGTTTCAGGGGCTATCTCACCTCCTGCTAAGTCTGGAAGCCGTGTAGAGGGTGCAACGGGGAAGGAGCTGTGCCAGGCAGGGGCTTATGGGACTGCTGAGCCGGGCAGGAGGAAGAGGGCATGATGGGGACACAGCTGCAGGTAGACGCATTTGCATGCAGGTCATTAGGAACCAAGCCATGTGTCTATAGAACTCTGTCTCAGTGGTTATCTTGGATGTGATGAATCTACTCGAAAACCAGGATGATCTTTCAAATGAGTTGCATATTCCAACTAGGAGGCTGGAAAAAAGCTGAGCGTGTTTTCTGCTTCGGTCAGACCCCCAGTGTCCAAGTTTAATACCCAACAGGCCTGAGTTATAGCCTGTTTTAAACTCTCAAAGAGTACATGTGTGTGTACCTTGTGGCTTAAAATCCAGCAATGCCGCATCTGTTGTGTCGTCCTGGACCCCTTCCAAGATGGCAATAATATGGGCAGCTCATTACGATTCTTCCACTACGCTGAGAAAGCAGTGCGTGTCCACATTCAGGCAATCAAGTCATATTCATTAAGTGTGTGGGGCACCAGGCTCTGATTCTGCAATTCTTCTGGTCGTGGGCGGCGGGGAGGAGCAGGACTAGCCAGTCTGAAGAGTGAGATGTGCTGGCCCCCACGCTGGCAGACTGAGAGAGGCTACAAATCTTCCTGCTAACCCTCCTCTGGCGGAGACTCAGCACTTATTAGGACCCACGATGACCCTATTAATACAAGATCTGACACCACCTCTCTGCCCAACACAGCTTCCTGGGGCAAGGGACCTACTTACATGTCCGTCTGCTTTGACCTTGGCTCCTCAGAATGCATCATGGAGCCTGGCCCAAGGTATGTGCTGGAGAAATAAACTGTTGAATGAATGCAAGATGGCTTGCTCTTCCTGAGGGCTGGGGACAGAGTGGGTGTTTTCTCAGTGTCCCCTCCAGAGCATCCGGTGGCCCACTTTCAGGTCTGAAGGTCACCACCAAGAAAGAGAATCTGCTAAAGTGACACCTCTATGCATCCACATGACTCAACACAAAAGATAACAGGAGACCTTAAAAAACAAACCTCTCAAGTGTCCGTTCCCTGTTCCTCTGAGGACAGTGCCAGCGGCATCGGATAGGGTTTGGGGCCGAGTGACCTGATGGTCCTTGGGCATCATCGTGGCCCAGAGGTCATTTAGAGCTCTCTGTTCAGCAGACAGGGTGGAAGGAATAAATGGAAGGTACAGATAAACACGTCATGTGGCCGCTGAAGAGGCACCTGAGAATTTGGGAAACCGACAGGGAAATTGTTGAATTTGCATAATGCAGATAGGCAGAGTCAGTTGGAAGGAAGAGCATACTGCCTGGGCCAGGGACACCTGACCTAAGGTATTCATTAAAGAAAGCAGGTGACTCTCAGAAGGGGGCTAGTAAACCAGGATGCATAGAGGAAGGACGTTTAGATCAGAAAGGCTTGGTTCTTTCATGCCGGGTCCAGTGGAAGACAGGTCTCCAGACCCGCTGGCAAAACTCTCTGTTGTCCAGGGGTAGGGCTCCGACCGGGAGAGGCAGTGTGGCGTCGTGGTTAGGAGTTTGAAAATCCCGGTGGGGTGACCTTGGGCAAGTGACTTTACCTTTCTGGGCTCAGTCACGTTGCTTATAAAATGGCAATAATTATCTCCTCTTGGAATACTTGAGAGAATTAAGTGAAAAAAGTGTCTATGTAAAGCATTTAGTGCAGTGCATGGCATATAGCAAAAGCTCACCATGATGGGGACGCTGATTATCTGGCTCCCTGGTTGTCAGGCAACAGGCAATAGCAGATATTCTTGTCTGGGTGAGCGTTTAACATGGGTTTGGCATATCTGGCCCACTGCCTATTTTTATAAATAAAGCTTTATTGGAACACAGCCACGCTCATTCGTTTAGTATTTTGCTGCTGCAACAAGTTGAGTAGTGCCGACGGAGACTCTGTGGTTCACAAAGCGAAATGGCCCTTTACAGAAAAAGGGCTTTTACTGTCTCGCCCTTTACGGAAGAAGTTTGCCGACCCTGTCCTCGCTGATTACCAGCTGGTTCCCAGACTTTGCTGAGGAAAACGAGGCAGTGGAGCAGTTAGGGGATGAAGTCTGGGACCTGGCGCTCTTGGTCTCAGGCCGGTTACTTACTTACTCATCGTTTTCACAGGTAGAATGGAAGCGATACGCACAGTGAGCACTAAGTGGGTTACTGTGTGGCCTGCGCTTAGTGTCTGATGGCTGGCGAGGACACTATAAAAAGTTGGCTATTATTAGCTATTCAGCTTCACAAAGAGAATCGCTGCTGAAAGTCACAAAGAAACTTTCAGAAGGGGGTCGCTGCTGCATACAGTTCTCTCTGCAGAATGCCCAGCAGTGATCCCACAGAAAGCCGAAAAAAGGGGGCATGAATGTCAAAGGTGGGCTCTGCCATGCCGCGTATCCAGTAAATTAATGATTTCGACTCCTTTTCAGGAGAGCGGCAGATGAGAACGTGAAAAGCAAGGGGAGCAAAGGTCAAGGTCATGAGGTCATAGCACAGTATTATAAGTACCTAGAGCATAGTAGGTACCCAGACTAGGTATCCTTCATTCATCCCGAATGAATGAAGTCTGGTTGTTTAACCATGAAAGTGATTTATCAGTCAAAGGGCATCTCTGATTTCTATGATGATGAGACCACGCTTAGCCATGAGATAATGTTTTCTGCCTCTGAAATCGTAAGGTCTTAGAAATGAAAGCAATATGCTAAAAACGAGAGAAAACTGAAAGCAAGAAGCCCGTTAAGACTTCACACCGCAGGATGGAGGCATTGTGATGGCTTCCTGGGGCACACACGGGCAAAGAAAAATGTTTAAAAACAAAAGCAGGCACATAAGGTCATGAATTGGCCCAAAATAACTCAGGACATTGAGCAGACGGATGCGAGTGGCACATCTCGATGGCAATGAGGCCAAGTGATAAGCCGAGATAGTCCACCCTCACCGGGCGCCTGGACTCCGGCTCCAGGAGGCGCCAGAATGGAACAGAGGAACACAGCAGCCTTAGCTGGGTGCGTCAGGGTGCGGCTTTCATTCCTAAGACCCTAAAAAATTGGAAACCACTCGCTTATCAGAAGCATGCTTTGGAATGTAGATCCGGAAGCTATTTTTTCCCCCGCAGACTCTGGTTTCCACAACAGCAGGCATTGGTGGCTCTGCCAAGCTGCTAGCGAAGGGCACCTTATCTGCAAAGTCACGAATCCGAGAACCAAATGGGCTGCCACTGGCGAGGGTGGAAGGAAGTTGTTTGTCTTAGCTTCTCAAGGACTCAGAAGATCGGGAGGGTTTGGGGACTGCAGGTCCCTTGTTGTCCCTTGATACGACTCCAGGGGAAATGTCGTTGGTAGCTTCTCAGAGGGCGTTGTATAAGCAGAGTGTCTTCGTAAAGGTCATTTTGGTAGCAAATAACAGAAACTCACGCCAGCTGGAGCAAAAAGGGGGCTTTTCTGGGGGAAGGAAAGCCAGTTTCTGCCTGTCCTGACTCTTCAGGTTTGCTTGCCCTTCGATTCCCTAAGCTTCCTCGTTCCCTTTCCATAACGCCCTCGCTGCTTAACTTAGCCACAGGAGGTTTCTGCTGTTTACAAAATAATTTTGAGTGATACAAGGGTACCTGGTATCCTTGGTCAGAACTGGCTTTCTGAAGGAAAGAGACTAGGAGCCAGAAAGTCAACAGGAAGCAAATTAACTTTCTCCGTCAGTATCAGTTGGAACACATTCCGCCTAGGAAAACAGAACTCTGGATGTGGGTACATTGTAAAAATTTGGAGCCCCTCCCAAGCCGACTCTGGCCATGTGACTTGCTTTGTCTGATGGGAAATTAACAAACCTAAGGCAGATAGAGACTTGAAAAGTTTTTGTGCTTCGGTGCTTGCTGTGTCCTGCTGATCTTGGGAACCTGAGCTCACCATATAAGAAAGAGCCTGGTCTAGCCACCTGGCTGGTGAGAGATCGTGCCAAGCAGAGACAGACTGTCCCAGCTGAGGCCTTTCGAGAGCAGGGCTTCTCATTTTCGTTGCTGTTGACATTTTGGATTAAATAGTCTTTGTTGTGGGGAGCTGTCCCGTGTATTGTAGGACGTTTAGCAGTATCCTTGGCCTCTACCCACTAGATGATAATAGAGCCACTGTCCTCCAATTGTGACAACCGAAATTGTGTGCAGACATTGTCAAATGTCCCCTGGGGGAAAAAATTTCCCCCAGTTGAGACCACTGTCCTACCCCAGCTTTCCTGCTGGTGACAAGGCATGTAAATGAAGTCATTCTAAACCATCCAGCCCGAGCCCAGCCACCCAGTCACACCAATACAGGGGCCCAGTGTGACTCACGGAATCATGAGAAATAATAAATATTTGTCATTTTCAGGCACTAAGTTTTGAGTGTTCTGTTCCACAGCACAACCAGGTACACCTGACTACAGTGGCTTAAACAGGTGATTTATTTTCTTATACAACATGAAGTACAGAGGTAGGCAGTTCAGGCACGGTACAGGACACAGGGATACTGCCCCAGGCCCCTCTCGTCTTTCCACTCCATTGTCCTTGGAGGTGGGCTTCGGCCCGTTGCTTGTCACCTGATGATCCCCAAGATGGCTGCTCCAGCTCCAAGTCTGAGCTCCAGGAGACAAAAAGGAGACAAGGCAAAAGGACAAAGGGCAAAAAGCTCTCTCCTACTGAAGTCCCGCCTTTTAATCCAGAAGAGAAGCCCTCTCAGTGGTCTTCACTTACATGTCAATGGCCAGCACTGAACAACATGGCCGGCCCGAGCTGCAAGGGAGGCTGGGAAATCAAGGCGTTTAGCCTTCAATTTACATAGCACAGAGAGGAGATGACTCTGCTGCACTGTCTCCCTGGGGGGCGTGGTTTCTTGTCTCCACTCGTTACGTGTCTACCCCAGCCTTTTCTCTCTGAAGACTGGCTTTGTTTCTCCAAACGCAAGAGGGGACATGGCCACCCCAGCCCTGGGACTGCACCAAGACGCTCAGCTCCGGCACCACTAATGACTTGTGTGGCATTCCAAGGTCTCACCTCCAAACATCAAAGAAAGAGGTGGTGATTGGCCCAGCTTGAGTTGGAAGAGAAATTTGATTGATCCGGCTTGGGTAGGGTATCTACTCCTCAACCAACCAGCTGTGGCCAAGAAAGCATCACTAGGTAGGGCAAACCTGATTGGGGGTGGGGTGCGTTCTCAGAGAAAGGGGCGTGTGGCTGAGGAAATGCCCGAAAAGCTAGTTCCAGAGGTGAAGAAAAGAAATTGCCATTATGGGTTGTCATGTTCATATGATAAAAATTAACATGTCCTTTGAAAGACCTAAAATACAGAAGAGTCATATAGGCATTACATTCAACTTATACAAATTCGAATATACATGTTCAACCAACAAACAACATATTTTTTTCCCCCCCACATAATTTGGCTCCAAAACATGAGCCAGCTGCTTGAACCACTGCCTGACCAAGTGATCTTTTCTGGTGCTGGAGAAAAACCTGCTGTTTTGGACTTTTGGATTATGGTACAGTATAAATGATATCAGATTCCTTATGAAAAATTTCCAGAATTTTCAAGAGTATTTTTCAGGTCAGGTAATACTCACTTTTCTCACTGACTTTAGATCCTAACTCTGTGTAAGATGGCCCTTCAGTGGAATATCACACGAATAATTTTTCCTATGTCCTTCTAATCAGTATAAAGAATGCATCTGGTTTTGAAATATCAAAATATTTTTATTGTGGCTTTTTAAAAAATAGTAAATCAGTGATAAGTCACAACTTCTGGCCCTTCCTCCCATTGTGTTTGGTGGTCCTGGCTACAGCAGAGGGGCAGCAGGGGATTTGGTGGCTGGAGAGAGGGCCTAACACGGGAGAAGCAGACAGTGGAGCAAGGAGAATGAGGGTCTCTCCACACACCCTAAATCAAGGGTGTGTCCACCTGGGCAGTGTGTGCTCTTTGGTGACTAGGTACTTGGTCTGTCCTTATGGCTGGGGAATTGAACCACTGGGCCATCTAATGGTAAGTAGGAGATGGAATTAGACATCTGGGTTCTAGATCCAACCCTCGAATGTATTGGCTGTGTGATTTCAGACAGGCCACTTAACCCCGCTGGGCCTCAGCTTCCTCACGTGTTAAATGCGGAGCATAATACTATGTACCTCCCAGGGCTTGGGAGAGGATTAGATGAGAAGTATTTTGAAAATGGCAGAGTGCCATATAAATGTTAGCCTTTATTATGCAAGCATTAAGAATGGATTGGCATTCTAAATGTATTAAAATAATCTCACATATAAATGCTCTATACCATGGCCCCATCAGCCCTGAGGTTACCATTCTGTCCTGTGGCCCCCGTCCATCACGGGTTTTCTTGACTGTGGGTTTCTTGGCGCCTCTTGGTGGTGTGATGTGTGATATGTCACGACTCAAACGTGGAACCACATAATTGTATCTACCAGGCCTAGGAGCCTAGGTTTCAAACCTGTATTCTTCATATGCCTGAGTATGTGCCCGTGCGTAGGTATTTTTAAAAAGAACCCCTCGCCCCAGATACTCCGAAATATAGCATTGTACAAAATACCAGCTTAGGAAGCAACACACCAGGGTAACAACCTTTAAAGTCCTACAAAAGTATCTTAGTATTTTGACACAGAAGAGTCATTTTGACTCACGGAGGATCACGTAAGGCTGGGCGTGGTGACAATTCTAGTTCCTTCCGCTAGGCTTAGAGAACAGAAGACTCTGGCTGGATTTGCTAGAAGTATCTCTCTTCAGCTTTTCTCTTTCTTGGTCCATCTTTGGGGCGGCTTTTTTGGCTCCAACCTGTAACGAGCAAAAGAAACAAATGCACAAATTCTAGAATTGCAGCGAGATCCCAAAACATTCCACTCAAATGTGTTTTATTTAAAATAAAAAGTTGTAAAACAAAACAAAATAGAACATAGCTATGAGCAAAAGGAAGTTAAAATGATCCACCATTATCATACCCAAGGTAAGCATTATAAATATTTTGGTGTCCACCCTTCCAGTTATACAGGTAACATTTTTCATGTTTTTGAAACCAAGAGCTTCTCAGGATGGGCACATTCATTGTGATGGAGTTTCTTTCTTTCTCCTGAAAAGCTGTTACTGAACTGCATGTGTCTTATGCAGGCGATGTCAAAGGAGGAGAAAATGCTGGATAGTAGAGGGGGCCTGTTTAGCCCTTTTCTGAGCACTGTCCCCACTCCTGGCAGCCATGCGTGTGACCCTAGCGCTGGTCACAGTTGACTAGACATTTGGCACAGGCTGGACTTTTCAGATGCTCACTCTCAGGATTTGGGGTTAATGGGCTCTGAGATGCTACTTGCTTCCTGACCTGGTTGTTTGAGCTGGGGGACCTTGAGGTCATCCCTTCCTGTCACATGACCAGAAAGAGACAATATCAGCAGAGAGTCGGAGAGATGCAGAGAGGAGGTGTGTGTGTGTGTAACAGATGTGATACTTGGGATCTGACAGTTTACCCGTTTCTCTTTTGAGGCCGGACTCTTTTTTAACCTCTAGTTTTTAAGAAGCACTCACTTCAGTGTCCTATAAAAGCCCCCTCCCTCTGTCTGCATAGATTCTATTCATTGCAAACCTAAGGCTCTCTCAGTTCATTCTGCACCTACTGTAGATAGCGTAACTTGCAAGATTCTTTCCAACAGGCTTCAAATTCCAGCCCTACATTCTGCACATTTGACTCCAACCATGAGGACACACATACCCCTGGGGGGAGGGGGCTGTGGGTCGTTGAATTTCAGCTCTGCCTCTTACTACGTGACCCTTGGTTTTCTCATTTGTCAAATAGGGACCAGAATATCCGTGCTGTCTTCCTCAGGGGCTGAGAGGAGATTCTGGGTGGATTTCAATGGAAGGCGCCGTTGAACCACCGTTTGAGCTCTTTTTGCTTTAAGACAGGTTTGAGCATTACCTCCTGAAACCTGTGCCGGTGGCTGGCGGGAGCCTTGGATGTGTTTTGAGACTCTGCGTTCCAAATCATTCCAGGGCGAGAAGGGCTAACATCGCTTCACTAGCCCACAAAGTATAACATGGTCAGGATGCCAGGGAAAATGAAAGCTGGCAGCAAAAGTTCAAAACCTTTTCCCTTGAAACCACCTTTCCTTTATAGCGCTTTTAATTTGATTTTCAATAAAATTGCTGGCTCTGGATGGTTCCCAAATGCCAGTGTCCTGACCCAGTGTGGGGGGCTGGCTGCCAGAAAGTTTGTTAAAAGGAAAGAGACCCCAGTCCAGGGTCCCCCTGGCCCCACGAGCTGGGGATAGGAAGCACCGGGCAGCAAGTTTTGGTCCACTTTTTTGAGTGACAAGGGTGGGGACAGCAGAAGGCAGACAGGATGGTTGACTGGGAAAAGAAAGAGGTGGGGAACGGGGAATGTGAAAATGCACATGCGGGCAGGAAGGACAGGGGACACTGGGAGGGTCCACCCTCAACTGGGGACAACAGGCGAGTGCCATGCATTCAGCTTGCATGTGTCGATGTAAGAAACGTCCAAATCTGTAGAGAATTTTTATGAGTTTATTTGAGCCAAATTGACAATTGCCAGGAAGTAAAATCTCAACAGACTGAGAAAATGCTCCAGAGAACGGCAGTTTTGTAGCTTATTTTATACATTAGAATCCAAGGAGGAGACGTAAGGAGGGTCACATGGAATCCTTTGGTGGTGGGTTAAGGGGGCGGGAGAAAGCAAAGCAGGGAAATCTCAGGAAGTGGATAAAAAGGTAAAATAGAGACACACGCGCTTCTTTTCCATTGGTGGGTACGATGTTAATTGGTAACTGACATTTACAGCACGCAGAGAGAGTACGTGGGGCAAGACGGCACTGAGGGGTCTGTGGCCTCCTGCCCTGGTTGTGCCCTGAGGGGTCTGGAAAAGGAGATGACCCTGACATTTCAAAGGTGTGTTATCTCAGATGCAAAAAGATAATAGACGGGCTCACTGCTGGTAAGGACTGACCTTGGTCAAGGAAGCTACAGGCCTAGGATGTGACTACCCGCTAGGACCTGCTTCGAGTTAGGAATTTTTATGTTTGGACCATCCTATGTGGTTGCTTTCGCTCTCTGAGTTTGTAGGGTCCGTCATGCTGGCCTTTCCTGAGTTTGCCAGGTTTAGTATATGTACCCTCCCCCCTTTTTTTTTTTTGTCCACAGATGTTTGGAGCCACATGGCTCACTCTTAGAATGAAAAGGCAGGGATAGGAACCAGTCATTAACATAGTGACGCCCAGATGGAAATTAACTCAGAACACAACCCGAGGCCTGCTGCAGGTGACTGACTGCAAGCATCGGCTCTGGAAAGACCCCAGCCCATTCATTCCCACCCAGCCTCGGGCCTCCGTTTAAACAACCCTTCTCCCAGGAGGCCTCTGCTGGCCCTTGGACGGGCGGGTCCCTGTGAAATATGCTTCTGAGCTTAGTCCACTGTCCTTTGTCTTCAAAACATTTGTACAAAGTAATGATTTCATCATTACTAGTACTTATTTATTTTTTTAAAAAATGGCCCAAGAACGTAAGCCAGAAAGGCAGTTTTGTGCGTTTCTTCCTTGATCTAAACCAGTGTTTCCCACCCTTTCTTTCATTATCGTCCCTCCCTAATGAGCCTTCTTCACATTTTCTCCTAATTGCTCCCACACCTAAGAAATTTTAATACTACAGATAGCACCGTATGTATATCCGTGCTTTATGCATTTTTAACTTTGGAGTATTTTATTTACTTATTTTTATTTTTTATTTACAGTTGACATTTGATATTATTTTCTATTAGTTTCAGGTGTATGGCATAGTGTTAGTCATTTATATAACTTACAAAGTGATCCCCCTGATTAGTCTAGGAGCCACCTGGCACCATAGTTATTACAATATTATTGACTATATTCTCTAGGCTTTAATCCCTGTGTGCTTTACACAGTAAAAAAAAAAAAAAAAAGAAAATTTTGCTCTCTCGGAGTGATACTGCCACCACTGAGAATTCATGAGTGAACCTCAACACCTGGACAGTACCTGCCACATCGTAGGCTCTAAAAAATTTTTCGCTCTCTCGGAGTAATACTGCCACCACTGAGAATTCATGAGTGAACCCCAACACCTGGACAGTACCTGCCACATCGTAGGCTCTTGGTAAATATTTGTTGAATGAGTCAGGGCCGGGAGGGTACTTTTTTGTTTACTCTTCCATCCTTAGGGGGTAGCACAGTAGGTGGCCTAGACTAGGTATTCAATAAATATTTATTAACTAGAAGATTTTAGCATACAGCTGACAAATCATTATAAAAGACTGTTAGCTGTAATGAAAAAAAAAAAATCAACGAATGGCATTTTGGAGGACGGAAAACAAAACCCCACAGCCTTAAAAAGGAAGGAGCTGCCAGTTCCGAAGCCTGCTAGAGATGGAGGCTCTTTTATAAGCAGATGTTACATGTCCTGTCTTTTTCAAGGTGGTCACGATGGCTCCATCCCCCTAAGGAGTCAAGGCACAGTGTGAAGGAAGGAGACCCTGAGCTACACTTTGCAAGCAATCTGGAGCAAACCTTTATGCACCGAGGAGGTCCTAGACGCCAAACTTCTAAGTCTGGGCTGTGGGGCTGGAAGAATGGGGAGCTCGCTCTTTGCTCTTAGCTGAGGCACCGCCATCTGCCTGCATTCTGTTAAGCCCAGAGACAGCCTGAAATCCCGCAGGCTTCCTGTCTCAGAGCAGCCAATGCTGCTACGATATCCAGGGCCCACCCCATTATCTCCTCTGTCATCTTACGTCCCCAGGGGGACCTCAGACAAAATCTAGCTGTGGGGTGGTTTCTGCCTGCTCCCAGGCTCAGCCACATATATGAATAGATAAGTGACAAGCCGCCCAGCCATTCCCACTCTGCAGGGTGGCAAAGGTCTCAGATCTAGGGGGGGCTCTCTGGACGCGCTCTGTCCTAGCATCCTGCTCTGGATAGTAACCACCTTCTAGTCTTAAGACAATTGTGAGTTGGTTGAGAAGAGGCTTCTGTTTTCCAAAAATGTCCCTTACCCAGGAAAGAATTTTTTTCCCATGACAATTTTGTCTCGGAATGATTGTGGCCTTTTATCAAACTCGAATCTATCTCCTCTCTCTCATTCGACTAAAATGTGTTTTCAAGCTTCCTGAGAGCTCGCTCCTACCTTCTGCACAGCGGGATTGTGGGTTGGGCCAATTCCAGTTCTAGGGCTGAATTGTGAATGGCACCGTTTCCACAGATTTAAAACTCGATTCTTAAAAAAGAGAATTCTAAAGGATATGCTTCCTTGAAATTCAAGAGAAAGGCTGCCAGAAATGTATCAGATGTATTACCTGGACGTGTATCCCCTCCAGGAGGGCAAGCAGCGCTCACCTGGGTGTCGGCTCCTCGTTGCATGCCAGCTCTCCCGCTGAGCTGTGTGGCTCCGGACAAATTACTTAAAGTCTCTAAGCCTTAGACACTCCGTGTGATAACTGGGGATCATAACACCACCAACCCCATGGGGTTGCTGTGAAGATTAAATAATGCACACTGAGTGTTCAGCTCTGAGCCTGACACATACTAAATGCTCAATACGTAACAGACGTGGGATTACTGTCCGTGGGGTCTTGCTGACATCCTACTGTTTTCCCATTTCTCCTGGCTCACCTGGAGATTTGACTTCTGCATCTTGTTCTTCATGACCTCTACAAACATTCGTCTCTTTAATACAGAAAGAATAATGACAAAATTTAGCTTATTCCTTCCTTTTGCATCAAAGAAAAATGGATTTTTTTCTCTCAACTTTTAGATGCCACCCATTTGGAT